TTTGAACTCCATCACTGACCCAATAAAATTTCATTAAAGCTATACTACTCCCAAAGCTTTGTTTAATCATCAACCCTTGACAAAAATCATAGTTTGGTGAAATATGCTAATTGACAAGTTCTTTCCCTTTGCTTATAATTTCTGCTCAGGTTGGTGGCTGAGCCATGGGCAGAACTTACCAGAGGAGACCTGGCTGCAGCAGATGACGGTTTTGCATCATTAACTCTTGCTACTTCATCCCCCTCTGAAGAAGGGCATTTCCTACCCTCTCCATGGCCACTACATTATAAGCCATTATGTGAAGAACCTGTTTCAACAAAACTCTAAAAAACCACTAACATTAAGCATGTGGTTAGCTGTCTTGTGATTAAGAGACCAGAGATGCAGCACTGGTGGAGTCCTCTTCGGGAAAGCACTTCTTCACAGTGATCCACGGGAACTCGGCTTTTCAGCCCACTGAAGCCATGTGGCTACAGATGTGCTCAAGGTTGTTTTGCTCTATTAATTGCCAAACAGGGTAGTGGGGCTATTTACAAGGTTTAATATTAAGCACATGATGAATGATTTATTGCATAACTGCAGGTTGGGTGGTGGTAATGGGAAGAATTTTCTTCAAAACAGGAGGAAAAGTTGCTCTGTGGTGGAGCTGAGGATCAGTCCTTGAATGCAGCTTTCAATGGTGCATTCAGTAATGAATTTTAATTTAATGAATTTTCAATGGTAGCATTTAGTAAGCAATGCTGCTTGCAGAGCAGTGTAGTTGTCCAAGCAGTATTACTGCAGGTGCTTTTCTTTCACATTATACCAGTGAGATCCCAAGCACCAGTGTTTTGACTCTGCGGGGTCAAATTCAGCTTTTAATTACATTTGTACAAACAACTCTGAAAATCTATGCCTGTTCTAGCACAAATCACCAGTTCTTCCTTACCATGCTCTTCCAAGGAAGCTGTTCTGGTGGGATTTCTGCCTGTTCCCATGAAAGCTGCAGTCAGCATCAAACACATTTGAGGGTTTGGTAACTTCTTGGTGAAGTAGATGTTCTGTAGTGGGGACCGGTACAGACACAGACATATTTTAGCCTGTCTTCTAGCACTGTGTAATTCATTAATCTATTCAACAAGGAGGTTTTACACCTCTAATGTCCAATGAGATAATTTGTGGAAAGATCTAGAAAGCCTCGACATAGAGAAATAGTCATCATCGGATTAACCTCTGATCATTTTGAATGAATTCTCCCATAAAAGATGCACAAAGCAAGTTTAGCATTCAGTCTTTTCTTCCATGCTGGGAAATACCAAAGACAACATTAAAGACAGAAAACGCTACTTGAAAATTCCCAATGATGAAAGATGAATCCAAAGCATCCCTTTCTCTGAACAGACATCTCCATTATGTATCTTAAGGAAGACATTATTTACCAATTTAGCAGGACGAGGCAGAGTGTGGTATCCCGATGCCACACACACACACAGTTGCTAAATGACTAAACCTACACATCCACGGGTGTTCAGACCACACGTTGCACCTCCAGAATGAGAATTTCCCCTTCCACCCAGGAGATGGCACTAAGGCACTCACATAAAAAGCATCACTTCAGACTTACAAAAAAACTATTTCCTGAAGTTGTGTGTTGAGAACACCTGCAAAATTTTTGCTCACTGGATTGTGCATCTTATGATGGGACCAACTCAGTGTCCTAAGAGGAAACATCTTTCTGACTGTTTTGTGGATGCTATCACATGGATTTGAAGTGAATTGTCCTTCTCATGGCCCGAGTTTCCTACCAGAGAACTGGTGGATCACAGCAGCCTCCATGCAGAGATGTTCCTCTGTTTCAGGCACAGGGCAGCACCAAATTCTCTGTAGAAATATGCATAGGGTCAATCATAGCAATAAGGCAACATGATTCTGGAAAACATTTCCTAATCTCTACCACCCACAGTCTGACTCATGCCCAGCTTGTTTCTCTGTGCTGTTTTTTTGATTTGGTTTGTTGTTTTGGTTTTTTTTTTTCCCTTGGACTTTGTTGATAGTGTAAAACCTGATGCTCTCCACACAAATGTTGCATCCCTTTTTGAATCCTGGTGAGCTCACGGCTGATGTTATCTGGTGCTGTGAGCCCAGGTTCTGCAGAAAAAGAACTGAAAATGGATGGTGTTGAGGCCATGCCAGTATTAGCTAGAGCTTCTCACCTCTTTTTGGCCCCAGCGCTCTTCAATGTTAAGCCTGTGTCACCCAAATGAAGAAGCTCCATCCACCAAAAAACAGGAGCATCATTGGAGGCACCAGGGGAATAGGAAAGCCAGCTCTGTGGCTGCTCCCTTCTGTCATTTGGATATATTTGCACGCAGCCTGAATGTCACCCGTTACAACATCACTGGGACTTGTGAGAGCTTGCTGAAGCGGCACGTTGCCCTGCGCTGACCGCTGCCCACCCCTTTGTGTGCTGGAATTGCCTTGGGACTTTCTCAATTTCCATAGCAGGGGGTTGGAGAGGAGAAAAAGCATTAACAGCAACCACTGCCATGTCAGACAGACCAATATTGGGAGGGGGCAATGAGGACTGCAGAAACAAAGGTTTGAATGAAAATAAATGTAATTTTGGGAAGTGAAAATGGCAGGAGACGGAGATTCAACAGGCTGGATCCCGGACACTGGGGCTGAAACATGTGAGTGCAGGTTTAAAAAGTTCCATCTCCAAGTCTGGTATCCAAAGCTGGAAGGCGCCTAAATAAGCATACTGCTAGAATATCCAGGAAGGACATTTATCTTCAGTATCAGCAGCTTCCTTCCTTCTCCCTGGCACGCAGTTAGGAACCACGTTAGCATATCCAGCATCCGTCTGCCTGATTGAATATCCTCATTAGTGCGCCTGACGGGGTGTATCACAACCATATAATCTGATTCAGCCATTTGTTTCCACCGTGGTTGCCTGTTTTGATTAGCATTTAGCAACATACTTTTTCCTAGTGAAGATGACTTGAAATTACCTTGTATACGAGCCCTAAGCATTTGTCTAGACACAGCCCTTGCCAGCGTAACAAACCGTTGCAGCGGAGCAATGTCAAAATCAGTTTGAGGAGCCTGTCTCCAGCATAGGGAGGCAGGATAACGATGCTTTTTCATAAAAGAAAACTATCAGTGAGGCCATGGGATTCATTTTAAGTGGAGCAAAAGTACATGTCCCATTAAGAACATCTCTATTCTCATGGTGTCATTCCCCAAATAAATCAAACTCTCTGTCTCCTCAGGAGCCTCTGATGGAAGCAAGTATTATTTTTCCCTATTTTTAAGTTAAAGGCAGTTTAATTGTTTCTGCTCTCCAAATTCTGCAGCCACTAACCCACTATACTTAGCTACAGTGGAAATACCCTATGCCACCCAAACACTGCATGGGCTGTGGTCAGTAATGTCCTCAGCTACAGCGGGAACAGAAAGCACCTTTGCGGAAACGCCGGACCCTTGGACCTCCCTGTATCATCTGCTTGGAGCTTGGCCTTGCCAGATGTCATTTTGCTAAATCGCCCAGTGCTTCTCTTCCTGCATGGTTTTCCTAAGGTCCTGCAGCAAGTTAAAGGCAAAATTTGCCATGGGTAAGCGGGGATGGGTTGAAACACCTGTGGAGTATAAGGAAGCAGGAGAGGTGAGTCCCTTTGATGATAAACTCCTTGGGGTGGGGACCAGTGTGCTACTGTGTCTACATAGTCCCTGTCACCATTGGGTCTAGGTATGCTTGATATTACTGTAAAATAAGTTATTTGTTGTCATCATTATCTTTTAATATTTTGTCTGTATCTGCTAAGAATCTCTTGAATAGCGGAAGGACGTCTCATTAAAAGCAGTGCCTTTCAGGTGCTAGGGAGAGAGTTCTCTACACCATCTACTCCAGGCTAATTTTGTCATCAATTCAGAAGACCCAGAGTCGGATCACTGAAGCCACAGAGCTCAGCAGAAAGGCTGTGATGGGCACGGTCCTGCCCGGGACATCAGCGCTTCCCAGGTCTCAGATTGGCGGCTCTGCATTGCCATCTTCAGGCTGGGAGCAGCCTTGCTACTTCCAGAAATCCTAGAAATCTCCCAGACACAGCAACCTCAATTCTGGTTTACCCAGCATTAGTTGAAATTGGCGGCCAGGCCCTGGAAAAAGTGTTAAATACAGAAGAGGGGAAGGAGATCTGCAAAGCTGGTACTCAGCTGCCCTGGATAATTCCGATATTTCCCACTCTGCAAGGCTTTAGAGAGTAAATTAACACAAGCAATGCTGTTTAACACAAACTACTTGCTGCGAGACAAAGTTTATTTGTAAGTTCTCTTTAAAGTACATAAATTTAAACTGACAGTGAGTTTAGCTCTGTAGCCTCCACTGTCCCAAAAAAAGACTTTTTCTGACAGTGATAGAAGCTCAGGCTCTTGGGAGATTTTAATGATGATCTGTTTAAAAAGGTCCCTGCCAAACATTTCACATTTGGTAGACACGGTGTGTTTGGAAGAGAAGTTTCCAGGCTTTCAGGGTCTCTGATGGACAATATCGCACATACAGCTTGGAGAGCCAAGGAGCTGTAATTACAGAACACCATAGGTAACACATCCTAAAATAAATCAGAAAGTCATGGAATAATGTAGGTGTTCTGGCCCAGCAGGGTCAGCTTAGATGATGTTGCTCAGACCTTGTCTTGTCACCTCATGAACAATTCCCTGCAATTCCCCCACCTCTCCGGTCTCCAAACAGTGTTTGACCACCCACACGGTGAAAAATATTCTGCTAATAAGATTTGGTTGGATAATCACTTTTTAGGAGCCCAGAAAATCAGAGAATGATAGAATGGTTTGGGTGGGTAGTGACCTTTGAAAGTAATCTAGTCCAACCCTCCTGCAACAAGCAGGGACAAATACTGCTACTCAGAAGAATATTTCAGCACTAAAGCTCTTACCATTTTATCTCAGGTCTCACGACAGTTTATAGCACATCTCACAGCTGTTTATACTTTTTCCCACTCCTTCAATCCCTGAAATCTCACCATTATTCCCAGCTCTCAGTGCAAAAATGGGTAATCCTGGTACTTACCATGGCCACCTGTAGCACCACTCACTGGGCTGTGTCCGTCGCAATCCGTTTCCCAGAGGGCAGCCCAGAGCACAGCCCCGCAGCGGGGATTTGAGGTGAGCGGTTCAGCCTCCGCAAGAAAATGCTGTAGCTGTCCTTGTCCTCAGATACCCAGTGGTTCCTGCAGACAACGTGGAGAAGGAGGTAAGAAGAGGAGTTCCATCCTCTGCTTTGTGCGCCAGGACAGGGGACCTGCCTCCCCTTCCACAGGGGTTGACCACCCAGCTGGGAAACTGCACGGAGCAAACAAAAGCACGTGCTGATGGCATGGGGGAGAGGGGGAACAGCCTGTCTCCATCAGGAGCGGCGCAGATGCTGCAACACACATGGCTGTCATTGGGACCAATCTCCCACCTAGATCAACCATTGCACAGGCTCAGTCTCCAGCCCACACATAACTCCAGGATCACAGATCAAAATCGAGACTTCAGCGCAGATCTGAAATACATGTGTGTGTTAGGGGGGAGGTGGGGGGGATGAGGCAGCAGGGAGGAATTGCCTTTCCAGTGAGAAATGAGAGTTCAGGAGCAGTTTATGCCTGTTTGTTCATAGTGTGTGGATGAGTCACGTTGCAAAAAGCTCCTGCCCTGTCTGATTTGAGAGAGCCCTTTCCCAGGGGAAGCCCAGACATGGAAAGGTTGAGACGTGCCTCCCACCCCCGGCCCCACAGGGATCTTGGCATCTTCTTTCCATGGGTACAAGGCTGTCCCAGGAGAAGTCTCTCCTCTCCTATCAACCCCACTGCAAAACTTTTAAAGAAAAGGCTGAGCAGGCTTTGAGAAAGGATTTAGCCCCGAGGGAATTCATTTGAGCTCATTGCATAATACGGACAGGGAGCACTATGCTTGAGAAACACCTTCCAACCCCAACCAGCTCCAAAACCTCCCTGCCCTACTCTCACCCTGTCCCCGCTCCCACCAGCCACCTCCTCCTTAGTGGTTTAAGTGTTCATCTTCAGGGAAAATGTGAGAAAAGTTCTTATTTACTCTACAGTATCCACCATGGGCTCCTGGCCAGCACTGGAAATCTGTATTGTAGGTACTTCTCCAGTCAAGGTCAAAGCACTCTAGTGAGAGAGTCCAAATAATTGAAAGACTTTTTGGGGTCTCCTGTATCCCATAAGATGTGTGTTCCCCCTTCTCCTGAGCTCCACTGTGTTTATGCTTTCAGTGCTCCTGTTGGAGCTACTGTGATTGAAGGGTTAGCCAAGGGAAAATGCAAGAAGCTCTTTCCTGGTGTAGATAAAGTCTTTTAGATTAGATTATTCAGTCCTTATTTTCTATAGCCTTTTAAGTATGATGGAAATCACACAAGGCAGATCTGAAAATGACATCTTGTGCCCTTCTGGACATTGACTTGTCAGCTGGAATATATTTTCCTCTACTGTCTAAATTTTCTCTTTCAACGTGTCAGAGCGCTGTGTCTCTGATTTATTTAATCAGGGACTAAACCAGGAGAGAGATCCAAGATCCACTTAACCCCCAAGTGAGGATCATCGCATCTGTTGTGCTATCTTCCCCCCAAAATCCCCGTAGGAGCTGGTTTGAAAGGGTGCCATCTCCTATCCTGCTCTCCACAGATGCCCCATCTGTATGCTGATAGCCTGGGTGTGTGTCCTTCTGACTGAGCAGATCCACCTCTGGAGAAATGTGCTGCCACCTCTCGCAACAAAGCAGGGAGGACATGCAAAGAAGAGCCGCTGACTGTATACATTTCAGATTTTCTGTATATTTTTAAAAAGCCACATTCCTCTAATGACTCATTAGGAAAGTATTTTTGTTGTTTTCTCTGAGGCTGAGGTTACAGGTATTTCACAAGTGCATGACCATGTCAGGCTGTGAACGCAATCTGAGTGGTCACAGCAGCAGTTCCCGTGCTGTGACATTATTTCCAGGGACACCACATTGAGCAGGGCTGCGCTGCACGGGGTGGCCCATACAGAAACTAGGATGAAAGAAACATTATTTACAATGCTTCAACCTCTTCTGGAAGATAATTGTTTTTCTCTGCCCTGCTTCTCCCCACTGATGGGCAGATGGTAACAGGGACTCTGTGGACTTTCCCTGTCTCCTTCACCTTCCTGTCACCCGCCTCAGTCTCTTCCTGCATTAAATTAAAAAACCCAAAGGCAGGCTGAAGGCCGCAAGTCACCCGCACGGGGCAGCTGCCACAACCTCCATCCACTGACCTTCCACCAAAACAGATGAGCCCAGGATCATGTTCCTGTTTTGCTGAGCATTATGCTGCTTTGCCCTGCACGTCTCCAGGTTGAACTGCTGGTAGGTGGCCCAGCGCGGGGCCAGCTTCTGCCTGCACAGCAACATCCCTGAGCGATGGGAGAAGAAGAGGGTGCATTAGTGGGAAAGCACCATCAGTTACTCACCCAAATCCTACCCTTGGGTGGGACCAAGCAAACAACGACAGAAAATTGGAGCCTCAGCTGGCATAAATCAGGGGAGACTCATCTACTTCAGCAGAGCTTTGCTGAGATGCATCAATTTTGCATCAATTTGGTTCATGAAGCCAGTGGGGGAAGGATTTATGGTGATGCAAAGCAAGCGGAAGGATCCATGCTGTCTCTATCTTGCCCTGGAGTGCCAAAAGGAGCTGAGACCCTCTGCAGGGGGTTCGTGTATGAAAGGGAAAGGCTGTGGGAAATACTGCACTGCTGGGCTACACAGCAGAAAAGCAGGAAGGGAAAAGCCCACAGTAGTTTTGTCCATAGCACAAGACAGCTTCAGGTGGGCTTGGCAAGGAGATGCTTGAAGCCCTCAGATGTTAAGTGGAGTCTAAATTGGCTGTCCAAATGGAGACATGTCTGTCTGAGCTGCTCGTCCAGACTCTTCTTCTAGGGGGTGGAGAGAGAGAAAACCTGCCAGGGCTTACTTCACCTCATCCTCAAGGTGATATTTAAGCTACAGGAGATGGCTGTGTCATTTCTCCCCACTGATCATGAAGGGATCCAGACATAGATGCCCCACACTGGGAGAATTGATCTCAGGGAACAGAGAGGGCAGCCCTGCTCATGGGCTGCATCATGAGAAGTGTGGGCAGCAGGGCGAGGGAGGGGATCCTCGCCCTCTGCTCCGCTCTGGGGAGACCCCCCTGCAGTGCTGGGGCCAGCTCGGGGGCCCCCAACAGAAGAAGGACACGGAGCTGCTTGAGCGGGGCCAGAGGAGGCCACGGAGATGCTGGGGGGGCTGGAGCAGCTCCCTGGGGAGGCCAGGCTGAGAGAGTTGGGGGGGTTCAGCCTGGAGAAGAGAAGCCTCCGGGGAGACCTTCGAGCGGCCTCCCAGGGCTTAAAGGGGGGGCAGGAGAGGGGGGGAGGGACTCTGGATCAGGGGGTGTAGGGATAGGATAAGAGGTAATGGCTTTAAACTGAGAGAGGGTAGATTTAGATTAGATATCAGGAAGAAATTATTTCCTGTGAGGGTGATGAGACACTGGCACAGGTTGCCCAGAGCAGCTGTGGCTGCCCCCTCCCTGGAAGGGTTCAAGGCCAGGTTGGACGGGGCTTTGAGCAACCTGGGCTGGTGGAAGGGGGCCCTGCCCATGGCAGGGGGTTGGAGCTGGATGATCTTTAAGGTCCTTTCCAAGCCAAACCATCCTATGATTCTGTGATTCTATATCCTCCTGTTTGATTGTGGAGCACTGCTGAGCAATGCTGCCCTCTTCCCTCTCACGCAGGAGCTCAGAGGAAGATCTCCACTGCTTTGGGAAGGTTGAGCATGGCTGAGTGATGTTTGGTGACCACCACTTTTGTCTTCCTGACTTCCATCAGCATTTTAATCCATGCAAGCAAGCTGTTAAATGGCATGGCGAAGGGCTAGCTGCCAGTCCCTTTGCTGCTTTTGCTGCAGGACAGGTATCCCTAGCAGAAGGGCACTAAAGGCTGCTGCTCTGAACCACCCAAGTCCCTCATGCTCAACCACAGAGTTCTTTTGCCTCTTTGTGCTTCTGTTCATGACCTGCAACATGGAGTTAACCACATCTCCCCCTATCCCAAAGCAGCTGTGAAGATAAAACCCTTAGAGACTTCACAGTGCCAATGCCTTGCTAGCAGGGGCTTTTCATGCACCAACCATGGCTCTGCAGATGTTTCTAAGATTGCAGCTCACTATGTCCGTGCTTTGAGCTGCCCTGGGAGCTGCATATTTGTGGCGATGGGGTGTTGTGCCCATGCTGTTAATCCTCGCTGGGCTCAGCCCAGCACCGGCACTTGGTCAGGATGCTGCCATCCGCGCGTGTCCAGCCAGCACGGACCACGGGCAGGAGGGGCTCAGCTGGCAAAGGCCCAGGCAGACAGACCCTCGGGTAGCTGGATACGGCCAGTCGGCTGTTTGTGAGCGGCCGGCGCCGGCGTGGGGGGTTACCTGCTGTTCCAGCAGTCTGAGCAGCAGCTGGAAGATGCTGGCAATAAGACAGCTCATTCTTCGCCTCAGCGAGAGCCTGCAGCTTCTCCAATTTCTCTGCCTGGTTGCTGCCAGTTCGGTGTCAGGGTAGTACTTTGGTAGGTAACTTTCTGCAACAGGAAGGACTGAAGTAAAGTGCTTTCTCTGCTGCAAGGCTTTGGGGCTGTAGGCGCTGCCTTCTGGCTTCCTCCCTCCTGCATCAGCAGCACAACTGCTGGCTTTGATGATCGGCGCTGGGATGACTCCTCTCCTCTCCCCAACAACGTTGTCGCTGTAGGTCATTGCCTGCTCTTCCTGGGGTATGGCAAACTCCTTGGCTTTTAGCTGGGAGTCTGCAATCTGTAGCTTCTGCAGAAAAAAGTCCCACGTGAATGGAGAGGCAGTGAGCGGGAAGGGACAGTTTTAAAGCATCATCAAGCAACGCTACCTGGCCACAGCAAAACCTGGGCTTTGGCGGGGTCAGCACCCCTGGAGATACAGCGACCTCAAAACAGCTCCATAACTGTAATTAAAAATGCACGGGCCGTCATGGCTTCCCCTTTCTGCTCATCTTCTGGCCTGGGACTCTGCTGGGCCCCAGGTGGATAGTAGAAGAGAGTGAGCGTGCCCCAGCACAAGCAGTAGTTTGATGGTGGGAGAGGGAATGGCTCCAGGGTTCATGTTGGGGAAAGGCTAATGGGGCTGCTGGCTCCAGCCTCTTCAGCTGCACACCAGAGCCCCATCACCAGCCATCTGCTCCTTTCTAGGGGCTGAGACTCTCCCGCTGTTAGCTCTGCCAGGCTGCTGGGGCCAGCAGGGACCATCCTCGTGGGTTTTCTTTGTTCATAGTTGGTTTGGATCTCCACGGGTTCCTGTTTGTCCCTCAACCCCCAAGGTCCTCAGGGCTCTTTCCCAAGGTGGCTTCTCCCTCACCATACTGACAGTAGAGCAGGTTGAGGTTGCAGAGCTACAGGAACTACCTGTATCTGGGGGCTCCCCCCACCAAGGATGGCCAGAGTTCCTCACAAAGCATCTCCAGAGGTATACAAGCCTCCAGGAGCCCACAGTGGGGATGGCTCATCAGCTAGTGCTTTCTGCCTTAACTCAAGGAGCACCCCACCTTCTCCTTGGGAGCAGGCTACCATTTCCAATTTCACAGATAAAAACAGCACAGTGGTTTTATCGCCTTTAGAAGAACCCAAATCCTAGCAGGGCTAAGGGGGAAACCCAAGCCTCCCAAATACCCCATCATCACGCTACACAGTGGGACGGCTTTCCTCTGCAGGCCTTGGGAGATAAAGAGTCAAAGGGAGCTGCAACCGGAGGAAAGTAGTAATATCTCAGGTGCTCCCTCCCTTCTTATCTCCCAAACTGTATCAGGACCTCCACAGGAAGCATGCAGCCTTCCAAAACCAACAAAAAATTATATAAAAAAAAAAAAAAAAGGAGAAGCGGAAAAGAAATTGAGATGCACAGATGCACAGCTTGGAAACTGTGCTCCAGCAGCCAGGGGTTAAACTCTGCCCTCCCAGCCAGAATCTCTGCTCCTGGAAGCGGAGCAGCCACCTAAGGCTGGGGCTGCCTGGGAAGCGCTCGCCAGCCCCGGAGAACAGCGGGAGCCCCGAGCAGGACCGTTAATGAAGGCTGCTGGCAGCAGGAGCGCTCCCCTGGGGCAGGAGGAGGGGAGAGGGGAGGAGAGGAGAAGGCTCCCCAGGCTGCTGCCAAGGCGAGGATGGCAGCGGTGGCCACAGACAGCCCTTCTGCCCCAGCAGGCACCTCCACACAATGATTTCTCTGTTGTTGTCCCCCCCTCTTCTTCCCCAGCCTGAATTTTTTTTTTTTTTTTTTTTTTTTTTTCCCCTCTCTCGTGAGTCTACGAGCCCAAAGCACTTTAACAACTGAACATGCCCCCCACCACTTCTCCTCAGTGGCCCAGTGCAAACCGCAGCTGTCCCCACCAGGCTGCCACAAGCAATTAAGCCAGGGCAGGCGGAGCGCAGCAAATCAGATTAAATAGCTCAGGGGGTTGCTCGCGTTGCAAGGAGATTAGAAAAAAATAACCTCAGCTTCCCCGCAGAAGTCTTCTCAGGCCTGTATCAGGGAAAGGAGCCATCTCCATCCCAAATGCAATCCCTCTCCTCAAGGCGGTACCAGGATGGGTCTAATCCTGACACAATCCATCAGACCCACAGGGAGCAATAGGAGTCCAAGGCTTAGGCACTGGTTCAGCAAGCAGTCATTAGTGCCCTGACTTAATGAGTGTAATTAGCATCGCCTGCCTCAAACATCTTTACTGGAGGGCACGAGGGGGATTTCCTGCAGAAAGCCGAGGGCATTTGGGTGGGATGTGACCTGCTGGTGGGTCCCAGCGATGGGGACCAAAGCAGACCCTGCCGTTGCAGACAGCACGCATGCCTGCTGCCCCCCTTGGCACCCACCCGGTCCACGGCTGTCCCGTAGCCATGAGAGGGGAGCTGACACCATGGACTAAAGAGTCAAGCAAGGAAAAGCCCACAGAACCTGCACGTCCTCCTCGTTGGGTGGCTTGTACTCCTCACACCACCGGTAGTCTCTCTTGTACAAACTCCTGTACATGCCCGGTGACACAGTCAGCTGAAATGAGAGGAAGCAAACACAAGGAGCTGCTAGGACTTGGGGGAAGCCTTCAAAAGTGGTGAGACAAACCTAAAATGTTCCCTCATAGTCAGGAGAGGATGAGGTGCTCTTCTGGGCACAGCCTCTGTCCTCTGGGCCACCCGGGACCAGTCTAACAGGGACAACCCCTTGCTCAGTTGAGGTGTGAAGGGTGGCCAGGAAGGTCCTACGCTCTTTCGGCAATGGTTTCTGGGGTTCTTCTTGTCCCAGGCAGTCCCTTGCAACAAACACTTCCCTCCTGCCTTTCTCAGCCTCCTCTGACTGCTCAGATGCCCCGAGGCAGAGCTGCTGAAATACTTTGATCAGCTGCTGAGGTCCAGTGTCACTCCGGTTAAATCAGCATATGGTTTCGTCTTCTATTTCACTAATATTTCCCATGTGCTTATCACGTATTTAAAGTTAAGTGCTGGAAAATGTCAGTACTCATTTTGCAAAGCTATTGGAGAAACTATGGAGGAAAACTCTGTCAAGGGATATTAAGCCAGTGACACCTCCCCTAACACCAAAAATCACTACAGTGCAAACTTCTGGACACGGAGAAAGGCTTTTAGGGAGAAAGCACTGTATGTGTGTCTTCTCCCCCAGCATCCACCATTGCCACTGCTGGAGCCAGGAAATCGGGTGAGATGAGCCCTCGGGCCAACCCAAGAGAGCTGTTTTTCTGTTAAAGCATTAAACGTGTTAACTTGTCAACGCATGGCAGAGGGCTGGGGGAGATGAGCTCTCGTGCAGTAATTGAAGGCGTTACTGCTATCTCCCCTGCTACACAAACACATCCACCACAGAGGCGTGGTTTGGCTGGCCAAGGCACGGGTCTGCGCTCCCATGTCTGTGTGATAAAAAGGAACCAATAACTGCACCAGCACACAGCACCTTAGGGAGGGCTCCTCGTGCCTTGCTAACAGTGTCACCCGTTATGGGCAAGAATATATTTGTCCTGGTTTCAGCTGGAATGAAGTTAATTTTCTTCCTAGTAGCTGGTATAGCGCTGTGTTTTGGATTTAGGATGAGAATAATGCTGATAACACACTGATGTTTTAGTTGTGGCTAAGCAGTGTTTATACTAAGTCAAGGACTTTTCAGCTTCTCATACTGCCTGGCCAGCAAGTGGGCTGGGGGTGCACAAGAAGCTGGGAGGGGCCACAGCCAGGATAGCTGACCCCAATTGACCAAAGGGATATTCCATACCATATGATGATACAGTATATAAACTGGGGGGAGGTGGTTGGGGGACACTGCGGCTTGGAAATTGGCCGGGCATCAGTCATCAGGTGGGGAGCAATTGTATTGTACATCACTTGTTTTGTATATTCTACTATTATTATTTCCACTTCATTTTCTGTCCTACTAAACTGTCTTTATCTCAACCCACAAGCTGTACTTTTTTTTCAAATTCTCTCCCCCATCCCACTGTGGGAGGGGGAGAGAATGAACAGCTGTGTGGTGCTTAATTACTGGCTGGGGTTAAACCATGACAATATTTTCTATTCTCATCCTTCTTTTTCTGGTATTTCATTCTTTTTCTCCTCTGGGCTTCCCAGACCAGTGGGTGATTTTGGCCAGGACCCAGGACCTCATTGTCACCAGCTCCTATTATCTTCCTAGCCTGACAGACCCTGCAAACCCGTTACTCAAACACGGGTGAGGATGAGAGTCCCGTGTGTACTTCACTTTTGAGTGCCCTGTTTTCTTGTGTCCACCATGGCGAACCAGGAACCTGGACCAGAAAAGTCACTCAGCAACCAGCAAACCAGATCCTCTCCTCCACACCACCCCAAGGGATAAGAGACCTGGAGTTGGGTACTGGCTGGAGGAAGGGGATTCAGCTGGGGCTGTAAGACCCCTGTGCACCCCAAACTGGCAGTCAGAGTATGATTGACTTCATCCAACTTCAGAAATGTAAAATATACCCGTCCAGTCCAGCAACCAGCATGAATGGAGCCAGACACCTCAGGGGATGCAGCCTGGTGGGACCCACCAGGGAAGAGATGGTGGAACCCTAGCACCAGCAGCCCCAGGGCCAGCCAGGGGGCAAACATGGGTGTCCCCTCCTGGGACAGGGCATGTGTACGATGGGATCCACCAGCACCTGCGTGCCCACAGCGTTTCCAGGGACAAGGAAAAACTTTGTCCCTTTGTGAGACACCCACACTCCAGAATCCTGGAGGCTTTGGTGGGAGGGGGGCCCCTTGAAGGTGTGGGGAAGAGAAGACACTCCACCGTCATAGCTGGGGAGCTGCTACTCACTCCTTCAGCTGCAGCCAGCCATGCTGGGGACACGTGGCCAGGAGAGGGACAAAGCCTGCCCTTTATGAGCTCTCAAAGCATCCCCAGCTCCTGCTAAAGATGGGAGAAAAAGATGGGGAAACTGGGTTGGAAAGCACCTACTTTGTGGGTGTGTTCACCAGAAGAAAACAGCATCCTTACCTCAATGCATGGAAGGCTGGGAAACATTGAAGAAGGCGGGCAGGGATCTCTACTTGGTCTTGGAGGGCAGCTGAGTACATCTGAACTGCTTTCTCCCTTTAATGACCTGCAACATAAGACAGCAGGGGATGCTCAGATTTAGCCTTCTTTCCCATGAAAAAATGTCAAGCGTTAACCAGGTTTGGATGCACCTCATCCAAAACTAATCTCACTTAATTTTAGATGTCCACAAAGACGACGTCCCTCTCTGAGCTGGTCCTTCCTGGCTCATTTAGCCCAATTCATGTGACCAACACCAATACCTACTTGGGGATGAAATAAAATGCTTTGTCAGAAAGCCTGGGTTTGGTGAGCTGAATCTCATCCAAGAGTCCAATTTCTGTAGCTACACATGAGCTTGGCTATTGGTTCAGAAACGAGATTCTCTGGCATTCCAGTAATGCAAATAGGAGTGAAAGCTGGTGATGATGCATGAGTCAGAAGGATGATATCTCGGCTCCAGGATCCTGCACAGAGGAGAGCCGGTCACAGACTTGTGTTCACCAGTGGAATGAGCTGAACTTCTAGAGTTACGTCTCTTTGCACACTGTTAGGCACCAGTGTATAACTGGAGCCCAAGGATGCTAACACTCTGGCAAGGGTCATGTGCTGCTAACAGCTCAGCACTGGAGTCAGACAGAAGGAGAAGCCCTTTGTCCCCACTGTATTTTATGCAAATTAATAATAGAAAAAATGATGCAACAATGAAAGAAAATATTTCCAGAAATGTGAAACTCTCATGTTCTCCTGTGCTTACATTAAAGGGATTACACTCCATTTCCTTCTTAATACAGCTAATGCTCTATGGGAAGCCCTCAGGCCAGGGATTAAAGCACTTATTCAATTAATTAGGAACAAACTTCTGCCTTAAAGTCAAACACACAAATATCAGTAAGCCCTTGAGAGTGTCTTCCTTCCACGGCAGGGAAAATGGATCCTAATTCTGATGTAAATGAAACCAAGTCTGCACTCTAGAATTATCAGGAATAATCTAAATTAAAAAGATTCACTTTTAAAATATCATAATTCTGTCAAGCAGCATGCTAAAGGAGAGGCAGTCCCGTAATCTTGAACACAGCACCTGAAACCCCATAAATTACAGGGGGAGGGGGAGCAGAATCAGGTCCTACAAGACTAATATAAATGAGATACAATTTTAGGATGTAGCATTGGTAACTAGCTCCAAGCTGCAGGCACAGCAGTGTTTTGATATATTTGAAGTTAGGGGTGAAATCCTGGCCCTGCTAAACTCAAAACTCAAAATGCTTATTCAGTAAGATCCAAACTTCACCTAAGGTATCTGATTCATTACTGAGATAGGAGGCAATTTCCAAAGCCTGGCTCGAAATCCTCATCTTCCTTGATGATGGCTCGATTCTTCCGTCTTCTCACAGGCGCAGCTCACATGAAATTAAAAGGCATTTTGCCAGGAGAGTTCATGCAGGAGCAGCCCACTATTGCTGTTCAGCTTCCCATTTCTTCTTCCCAAATACCAAATGATGGGGCTGATAACTGCCAACATAATCCCAATTAGAAGTGGGTAGGAACCAAATTCCCAGATCTCATCTTCCTCTATCTCTGAGAGAGCTTATCTGCCTCCTCATTGCTAATTCAGATATGGAGAAAAAGTAAAACCAACCACATGTCACTTTTTTTTATACATATGGAATATTTTAAACTTCCTTCACATACACCTGTGGGCTGCAGTGCCACTTCTTTCCTGCGATCTCCCAATTCCCTGCAATGGTCCCAGATTTCTCTTGAGGCCCGTGATACATGGGAATTCAGCCAAAGGATGCTTCTGCATGTCAGATCCCTGCCCTGGCACCCCCCCACACAGCACTTAACGTGGGCTGCACGCAAGAAGCACCAGGAGGGAGACATCCAACTGGAGCAAATGGAAATATTGTGCTGACTTCACATAAGGTGGAATTGCCCCTTCCCGACAGCATTAACCATTGCATGGTCATTCATACTCTGCTGAGCTACACAAAGCCATGTGAATCTCAGCCATGGGGTTGCTTTGTCAGCATTTTTTTGACCAGGCAGCTTTTTCTGTGCCTCTTCCTCCTCACCTTCCCTCAACTAAATATTTTCCATATGCTTTTCTAACACTTACCCATCCAGCGAGCAGTCAACTGAAGATGGCTCACTGTACCCTGCATGGCTGCTGTCTGTGCCACTGTCTGCACATCTCTACGACAGAAGTTAACACTGAAACCAACACTCTGCTATAAACACCTGCTGGAGAAAACAGCTCTTAAATAATTGGTTTATTTTTACAGTATTCTGGAGAGGTGATGGCTGAGATTCCCAGGGTCAGCAGCCTAAATCACGTACCTGAACAGAAGTGCCCCTGTTTCTCAAGGCACTGATCACCCAAAACATCCAGGGTGCTGGTGCTTTTGACATCTCTCCATCATGCTATGTGCATGGATACAAGGAAATAATTGCAAGCCAGCCGGGACCAGACTGCCAAAGGCAGACAATTATGTGTTTTAGTAGCACTCTGGGAGAACTTTCCAATGGGCCCAAATGCATGATAGCTGAGTTCAGGGCCTTTAAAATCAAATGGGAAGAGTTTAAATTAAAATCAAGGACCTTCATTACAATGTAAACCAAAGAGATTTGTGTACCTGATCTGTGTAGCTCCTTCCTGACATTCTGCTGGACGTTTCCCCGTGCTTAGAGGTACCTATGTACCTCTGGAAAGTCGATCTCATAGACTCAGTAAGACTGCAGTAGCATATAGGACGTGACACAGAGATGAATTTCACCTCAGTTTGGCCCTAACTTCCCATATTTTCTGTATTTACCACTTGTGAAATGGCAATGGTGATATCTAAGCCTGTATTGCTCTTGTGCAAGGAGCTGCAGTGGTACCAGCAGCATTCAGGTGAACCATCTCAGCTATTAACAATTTAGTGCAAGAAAACATGGCCAAGGAGGACATACCTACCTGTCAACCTAGCTCTTGACAGATGTTCTCTGGGCTAGCAGTAAGATTCATTGCCCCTGTGAGGATGTTGAAAGAGGGAAGTGATCAGTAAGCAGGACCCCCATCGTGTGAAAGGGGCAGGGCGTAATCTGTGAATCTCCATTCAGGTTATCACCACGAGGAGACAAAGCGCCAAGGGAAGACTCTTCTTCAAGGGACGAGTGTTGACAGCCAATTCTGTCAGCATGAGGTCATTCACCTGTTTGGGTCTAAAAACATGAACTTTCGTGGTGGTGCAGCAGTCCAACATGGGAAGGTTTCCCATGGAGCTATTTATTTCATGACTCTCTCCAGTTTTCTTGATAAATTGGTGGGGAGGCATTTATGGCATCTTGTGATCAGAAATAAGCAATGTCCTTCAGCCTAAATCTGAGGCACCTGAAGCTCTCTTCCAGCTGCTTAAATCACTTACAGGATTGAGCTCTCAAAGTCCAACTCCTTGTTGCACAGACATGCCTCTCTGTAGAAGACAAGGGCAGCTGATGAACTCGGTGGCCGTGTCCCAAATCTTTGGGCACTTCTGCTGTAGCCTGCTAAAACAATCAGCTGTTTGTCCATGGTTCCCCTCAAAAAAGTATCCATCACCAGAGGATGGCTGAAATCCTATCACTGTCTGTGCAATGTGTCCTGTGATACAAATCAATGCATATTTATGCACCTGTGTAAGGCAAATACATATATGTATTGCTGGAGAACCTAAATCTGCTCACTAATGCCATTGTTTAAATAGCCCTTTAACCACATCACTTTTCTCCTCGTTAGCTTAAGTTGCTAGAGGTGAAAAAGTCCTTCCAAAATGGTTTTCACTCACTCACTCAGTCCAAAGTAAACATGCCTCTGGGACCATTATGTGTATCAGATATCCAAGGCTTTGTTAAGAGCTTGCCTGTTAGGTAAATTCTGCTTCTCTTTCTCCTTCGAAGGAGAAGGTTAAAATTAGAGAGAGGCTCACATGAGTATGTCAGAACAGCACCTTGCATTACAGACAAAAAGGAATAACAGATGAAATTTAGAGCAGCGCACGTTAAGTGACTCAAGTCTCGGGGAGGCTCTAACGTAACTCTGGTTACAATATGACACTGGTTTGACTTATGCCTGTCACTTGCAATCACATCCATCACAGATCTCATGGTGGCCAAGAGCCTGACATTTGCACCAGCAGTCAGTGGAGCCACAATATAGAGCTGAGAGTCCAAAATAACAAGCACAAGCTTTTGCTAGCAAAAAAATATAGGGGAAATGTGCATCTATAGCAGATCATGGAAAATTCCCAAGCCATATGCCACATGCCTGAGGGAGCTCATGGGTTTTAGCCAGCTGGACTTTCCTTCATTCTCGCCTCTCAATACAATCACATTTACTTCTTAAAGGCAAATTTGGCAGGACAACAACCACTCTAAATCAGCTCATCTAGACTTCATCCACAACTGACTACATTGAAGAGGTGCCTTTCCATTGCCTGCACCAAGGTTTGGACTGGATATGCAACTGGGAGATTTTCCCACTGCAGCCATTAGCTGTTCAGCTGATCTAAACTTGTCGAGGAGAATAAAGCAACCACCTGCTTCCAGTGACAGGAAAAGTAAAGTGAGATCAAACGCTAGCAGAAGGAGAGAATTCAAGCAATGCAAGAGGTGGTTGCATGTCATTTCAGAAGTCACCTTTTGTCTTTGATCTGTGCTTAGGAAGCGGGCACCTCCTGGATCAGATGGTCATTAGAGAAGTGTGCCACTGAAGTCATCCCACCTTGAAGTCTCAAGTGTTTGCTTTCCCCAGGGATCATCCTCCTACTTCCGCCACCGTGTAAATCATCTGCCCTGAGATTTCCTATAGAAAAGCCAATCCATACAGGTTAGGGAGCAGGGACCAGGACTTGTGTCCTCCTCTAATGCCAGGATTGTTCACTGTGATGAAGCTGAGACTGCTCTTTTATAACCATATTATTCACACACAAGTAGATTCTCTAAAAATCAGAGGAGAGTTATCATAAAAGCTGTTAGGCAAACAAAAAAGCCCTGGCCCTGAAGAGCTTGCAGTCTAAACACAAGAGACAGATAAAGGACTCTGAC